ACAACAATATATTGTTTTTTTTACGTGTTTTGTTATCCAGGTGGTTGTTGTTTTGGTGCTCTCAGCTATGACATCTCATGATTGAGAGGTAGTACAGGTTTACTTCAGATTGGGAAAGTCTATCCAGAAGATCTTTCAATCAATCATGACAATATTTCTCAACTCCTTATGATAGCAAGAATGTCTTAAGCCTCATTCATATACACTTGTGTAATGAGTAAGCCATTATTAATCCTGTAGAAATCAGTGAGTACTTGTTATTCTTGCTTTAGGTGTTTTACGTGTTGATTCGTTTTTCCACTTCAAATTAAAAGACATTGCTGACACAAGTGCATCAGAAAATGTAGAAATCTGTAACAGTCTGCAGCTAGAGCAAAATGTACCAGCAAGGCTTTCACTGAACCATGCTCAGATCTGTCTCCCCTTCTATTTTGGTTTTTGGTTGGATTTAGGAGGTGACAGTTGGCCCTGGCTGTCAAGGCCCAGACGTTGGATCACTCTGCTATAGGAGCTTTAAGCCAGCAACATCACGCAATATAGTTCACACAATATCCCAAAACACGTTTCATACTTTAACTTTTCTGTTTATTTCATTTTAATAAAACTTGGCATTTAGCTAAACGTCTTCAGCTAATATCCGGGGGTTTCACTCATCATATAAACATTAAATTAAAACTGCTGAGGTGTTTTAGTCATTTTCCCTGTTGTCCAACTCAACATTAGCTAAAACATAATATCGAAATGCAACCTATTTCTATTAATTGGAGGCTATCATACTTTTCGCCTCATTTTTCTGACAGCAATTCAAATTACTCACGTCTTTCATTGCAGCCATACACACCCTAAAACCCATTTCCATGTGCTATTCTATTGCTGTTAGTGAATAAAGTCAATATCTTCATACACAGACAACTTTGCCTCTGAGCTGGAGATCAAAGCTGGAGATCAAAGCTGGAGAATTAGTGGCTGATTATGTCGGCCTTTTTTTTTTTAGAGATTACGTCAGATGAGTGTTACATGAATGTAGGACATCCAGCTGTGAATCAGACCCCATGGCTGCGGTCATAATGTCCCAGGGGTTGTTACATTATTCAGTGTATATGGAGCAGCTCTAGGATTCTGCTGTTTGCGGATTTTAACTTGTCTCTTTGCTGAAGGAAAGGTGTCACAAATGAAACCTTGTGAAGAAAAGAGTTGCAAAGTCTTATAGAAATAATATTTATTCTGTTAGGTGGATTTTTTTCTCTTTAAAGGGGAGAATGGAGGGTTTTCCTTTCTTTTTCTTTCTCTTTCATTAAAAGATGCAAAAATGATAATCATCAAATCGTGTTGTTGTAATTTGTTAGTAAATAGTAAATTCGTTTTTTAATTTTTAATTTTTTAGTTTGAGTTCAGATTTTACAAAATGTACAACCAATACGAGCATGTAAATAAAACCCTCTAAGACTCTGACATGTGACATTATGTGTATCGTTGAACAGTGCAACATAAATTGAATACATCAACAATTTCCGTTTGCAGTTATGTTATTCGAAGCTATAAACTCTTTCTTTCCCACAGCCAGAGTTTCAACAGTATGCTCGACTAACTCTTTAAATGGCGTCATTACAATCAGGCCAGTGGGGAGACTTTAGCCAACTGGACCGTAGAAGGAAAATAGGTTTTAAGATCACAATAATGAATCCAAATTATGGCTTATGACTGGTAGAAAGGACAGCAGCGCAGCGAACCATTGTTAATTCCCCATTGAAATCACATTGTAGCTGCAGACAGCTCCTGTAATTCAGGTTTCACTGATCTCTTTATTTTCTTTCATGATGACTAATTCAGGAGTTCATTGTTAAGTTACAGTCTTCAGTGGCTTTAAGGTACAGGTCAAATCATACTGTTCACCTACTGTATCTGAAGCAATGATGCATTATAAGGTAGATAATGATGATATACAACTTCAAATGTGAGATTACTGACAGAAATCAATTTTAGAGACTGATGCTGTTAGTACGGTTTGCTTTACAGAGGTTACATATCCAGTTATATAGAGATTAAATATCCCTAGCTGACATGCCTTATAACCTTGAAAACTTGTATTTTGTTCTCGTCTGGGCTTCATGTTCCCTCCTGCATACAGGCTAAAATTGGGACTGAGCAGTTATACTGTGCGCTTCAACTACAGCCAACAAAAACCCCGTCTGCCAACTACCTCCAGCCTCTCATCTCCAAAATGTCTTCCCTCCACCATAAGGCCTGCCATTGTTTTGGCTCCACCTCTAGTCCTTGAATGGTACAAGTCTGGCACAAGGTGGTCAGAGGCGGAATGAAAGATGGATTTCTTTGTCACCAGTAACCAATCCCTATCCACTAAACCATCCTCTGTATGTATAATGTGCCACTCGTATTTAAGTCAAGCACCTATTCTTTCAGATATTTTCATCTCATCCTCTCTGACATCATTGGTTCTGTCCCACGCATTCAGAAACTCCCCAACATTGTTATTCAAGCTGCTCTCTCTTCTCCTGCCTTCCCTCTATTGTTCACTTGCTCTCATATTGGTGACACTGCCTCTCAGCCTATCTTCTCTCTCGTCCAAGTCCAAGTCTTTGAAGAGGCTCCCAAAGTGAGCCTGATTGTTTTAAAGTCATCCGTCAGTCTCCATGTCTTTCTCTGCTGCTTGAGTGCTTTGGCCCACAAAGAAAATCACTTGAAGTCGACCACCACGGCAGCAGGTGCATCTGACAACCTCCACTCCCATGGGGGACCTAAACTGATATCGCTAAGCTTGAGATTTACTCTGATAACATGGCTAAGAGCAAGAAAGGGGATTCTGTTGATAAGCCGGCTGTGAAAGGATTTGCTTTGGCTTTCACCACTGCATCTGTGCAAGTCTCTGTTGGGAAAGTAACTATTAGCAAAAGTCCTATGTGTGTTTCATCCTCTCCAAATGCTGAATTTCCCTAAGTCTTCTGCTGTGCCCATGATACTGTCAATGTACGCAACATTTTCTAAATCAGCAGAAGCTTGTTGAAGGGGACTGGTGACCTGAAGCAACTCTGAAGCTGTTGACTAATTTATTTTCTCTTTATGCTATGTGCATACTACGAGCGACAAAAGCTTCAAAACGCTGGCCAATCAAGGCCAGCTACATTTTCAAAGAGTAATCATCAAAGTGTTTCTCAAGCGCTTGTTAACTTATGTCGTTAAACAGCACTGGGAACTGCCTTTTTTAGATGGAACGGAACAGAAGGTTTCACAGCGTCATTGGAGCTCTGGAAAATGTTAAGACTAGCTCAACTTTGAATTGTAGCGCATCACGCCCTTCACACAGCGACAAGTGTTGGCCGTCAGTTTGTAGCTTTATAATAATAATATAATAATAAAATTTATGTATAGAGCACTTTTCCCAGACAGAAAATCACAAAGTGCTTAACAGAGCAGAAATTTAAAAGCATAAAAAACACAATGTGACCATAGGGTCAATAAATTACATACACAGAGAGAAAATAAAAAAAATATGGGTATCCTAGGCTCGGAGTCACATTTTACAGGCATCTCTGCAGCTCTGTGGAAGCGCAAGCTTTTCCGCAGAAATAAAAGAAGCATAAGAGTGCTGGCAAGTCTACAGGGTCTTCAGGTAGATGGTCATCAACAATCCAACCAAGACTTTTTAGCTACCTTATCCTAGCAAGCAACACCATACACCTATCTGTAGCATCGTGAGTTAACATTTTAAGTTCTGAATGTACACATTAATAAAAATCCACAGAGCACCTTTAAGTTTAAAGGCAGGGTTGGTAATTTTGAGAAACTAGCAAGAGTAGGCTAAATCTTAAAAATGATCCAACTGAAAAACCCAGCCCAGTGTTGCCAACTATTTTCCAATGAAAGCAGCTAGCAGCACTAGCTCCAAAAATGGCTAAATCTACCAAGAAAGTCCCCAAGTCAGCAAAACTGACAGCCCGTCCCTTCATTCCTATCATGAACGTAAACCTTCAACACGGCTATAGGACTCACATCTGTCAAGCTAGCAGCTTGTATAAGACTTCTGTTGCAATGAGTGCAAAAACAGAACACTCGCAGGCAGGCAGGTAGCCTGTCCAATCATTATATTTAGGCCAAATAAAATGATTGGACGGGTTATTACAGTCTTGCGACAGACACCGGTTGTTTTTTGATGTCAGGATGTAATGAGAATTTCAACATTATCAAAAATGTTTTTGAAGATTACCAATCCTGCCTTTAATTTGAGGTAGTTAATATTTCTGTTACCTGCCACGTTATACTTCGACTCCACTAAATTCAGATTCAAGTATTGTACTTTTTTACTCCACAACATTTTGATGGCTATAGTTACTACTTAACAAATTAAGATTATACATGCAAAATATATGATGCATTGCATTGCTATACCACTCAATAAAAATATATCAAATTACTTCCCCCTCGACCATGTAATGATCCAATAATATATTATTATATGGACCCTGAGTCTGAAATAAAGTTTGATTGATTGATTGTTTGATATAGTAGTAGGGTATAACACACACAATGGCCATTTTTCTGCATTGGGTAGCATGCTTTTAACATGATTAGTGCATTTAGCTAATAACACTTTTGAAGGCTGCATTCACATTTTAAAACATGTCAATGCTTCGCAGCGTGGTAACCTATTTCTACTTGTATTTAAGGGATCTGATTTGCCCCCACACAACAAAGATTAAAGGACTCAAGGAAGCCTGTTATTGACAACTTATAGACATAATTAAATACAGTTATGATTGTATTCATACAACTATCAGGTAGTCACCTTCTTAATCATCAGTTGGTGTGAGTTTTCCACTGTCTCGGAGCGAGACTGGTAGTGGCGCGATTGTGCTGCTCTGGAAGACAGTCAGCTCACTCTCGTTCTGGAATTGTCTCTGACGTCTTCGGCCTGTGGCACCCGTGCACGCGCCCGTAGCAGGCGGTTGAAACCACGTCACGAGAATCGAAATCACGCGATGTTTGGTAAGACACTATCGCATCTATCTTGAACGTTAGAGTTAACTGTTTAGGTTTCACTTATCACTTTTTGCCGGGGGCACCACAGCTTTACAACAGTAATCTAGCTAGGTCGTGGAACGACGAGGGAATTTAATTGCTGAAACAGTAGAGATGTAAGTCTTCGGGTTTACTATGTTGTCGTATACGGTTATGGCTGAGTAGCTACAAGTCTTCGTAGTGTGTTACTGAGGATCAACCGGCTAATATAAGCTAATTTAGCTAAACTCACGAGTTAGCCCAAGCGGTACTTGCACGGCTGTCAAGAATATGAGACGCAGTTAAACCAACCAGCAGCTAACTTTCCCTCAGTCCTAGTGTACATTTACACCACATCGTCCCACTGACACTGTAGTTTATCTAATTGTCATAGACGTTACGCGCTTCAGCTCCTTCATCGTTAGCTAACAGGCTAATGTCAAGCAACACCAGGGTAATGTTAATGTCGGCACTGGAAAAGTGTGGTGTCATGATTAGCCTGTAAGATTTTACTTTAGCTAATGTAAGCTGACGCCAATTTACACACGTCGCCCTCATCCAGTTCCATATTGTTCTACTCACTGTGGTTCAAATAACTACACAGCTTACTATTAAGCTTTCCTTTCAGCATGCTAATCTAATTATTGCTCTGACACACGTATAATACTGCCTGTAAAGTAATATCAGCAGGTTCACCTTTTTGTTTAAAGGACTTATTCTAAAGTGTTTCCTTGAGAAAGCAGGAAATGTTAAGCATATTGCTTTTAGGTAAAGATTTGAAGAATACTAGAGAGGTTCTCGTGCTAATCTAGAATGAATGAGTTACAACGTGACCTTAGATCTACTGCACCCTGTACTCGTGGGCCACCAGATAAGCACCCCTTGGCTGTGAACATGACATGCCCAGTTTATATTAGTAACCGGACACTCTCAGCTCCTGGTTATTTACTATGTCAGATTAGAATGAAGCATAGGAGACGTTGGATTGTATTCATGTCCTTATTCCCTCTTTGTGTCATTAGGCAGCCTGCAACAGCCAAGTGGTACGACAGACGAGACTCTGTTTTTGTAGAGTTCTGCGTGGAGGACAGTAAAGATGTGAAAGTACATTTCAACAAGTCTAAATTTGATTTTGGGTAAGTTGCATTAATATTACGTTAAATGGTATGGAATGATGACGACACATATTGTTACAAAGGAAATGTCACAGCCTCTTTTCTCTTTACCTTACAGCTGTCTCAGTGGAACAGATACCATCAAACAACAGAATACAGTGGACCTTTTCGGGGAGATTGACCCCAAAGTATGTTTGTCATCTGTTGACATAGTTGCAGTTCTACCACATGTTTTATTCCTTTAAAGCTTTCATCACACTCTTTGTTCCACTCAGGTCTCAAAACACAGACGCACTGACAGGTCTGTATTGGTATGTTTACGAAAAGCAGAGGCTGGGAAATCATGGCCGCGACTTACTAAAGACAAGACAAAGGTAATTTTCATTCTTCAAAAAACAAAACAATTTAAGGAAATTAATTAAGATACTTAATGAAACTTGCATCTGTGTGCCTACTCCTGGTACATATGATTAAACGCATGAAAATTCTTATTTCCAAGAATGGTGGTAATAATACACCCAGCTATACAGCTAGGTTAATAACAGCATTAGAAAACAGCTGTAAAAACCTGTTGACTTAGTTGAACATGGATCTATCCTCTCTCAGTGCAACTGGCTGAGTGTGGACTTCAATAATTGGAAAGACTGGGAGGATGACTCAGATGAGGACTTGTCAAGTTTTGACAAATTCTCAGAGGTAAGCACGTTGAACATGCACAATGCTAGGTTGTGAGTATGACCAGATACTGTGATAAGTGCTGACATTGATCTTTGTCACCTGTGTATTTCCCCAGATGATGAACACAATTGGAAGGGATGATGTACCTGATTTAGATGGTGCAGGAGAAGAGGTATGATCTCATTCCTCCACTGGCAACAGCCGTTGCAGGAGGCTGTATGTTTTCAGGTTGTACGTACGCACGTCCCATGCTCACGAACGTGATATCTCAGCTACTCCTGGAGGGAATGTTATGTATTTCAAATTTGCCACAAAAGTCCGCTGCACTCAAGGTTGAACTTATTCGATTTTGGTGGTCGACGGTCTCTTTTGACTGCACAAACACGTTGTTGGCCATAAAATGATGAAGTGATGACATTTTGGACAGATATGGATGTAAACTGCAACATGACTAGTTTGCGGAGGCATGCAAGGGCGAGGTGGTAACTCTAGTTTCTGCTTTCTTTTGCAGCATGAATCTGCAGACAGTGACGATGAACGTGAGTACTATTCCAAAAGAGCTGTCGAGTCATTTGTTATCAGTAGTCACTAGATCCCATAGGGTGAGGACGGGATGCTAGGAAGTGCTAAGTTCATACAAATGTGGCTGTTGAAGATCTGTTAAGAAACCGATACAATGTTTGGGGAAAAGATGATCCCATGTAGTGGTGATGATTGTATAGGTCTGTTATTGAAGTAGAATTCATTTAATTTAATCAGTGGTTAACTCGGTGTGTTAATTTTTTACGATTAAATCTAATCACATTCTCACAAAAGTCACATTTTTCATTTTGTTTCTCTTCCAGAAATGCCCGACCTTGAGTAAATGAACATGGATGCCACCTCAGTAGTAAATATAGCGAGGTAAAGTCAACTGGAGAGACACTAGACCTGAGTTGGGCAGCCATGTTGGAGAAGAGACCTCATCTCCACGCAGTTTCCAAAGCGAAACCCCTCGAGGGAGTGACTGTTGAATACAGACGTGAACAGAGATCCATAGCGACATAAAGTGCTGTGCTTTGCTGTTCTGTTCTGCATGGACAATTATGTTCAAATGAAAATGACTTAATTGACTGTAACGCGATGTTCTGATGTCTTACACCTTCTCTCTTTGTTTATGTATTTGAATATTGTGATTTCTAATGAAGAAAAGAAAACTCAAAATGCCTATTTTCCAAAAAAGTAGATTTTTTTTAATGAACATTTTCCCCTTTTAATGTTTGTATTGTAAGATGCACTTATTTTGTTTGTTAATTTAAAAAGCAGGAGTTCTGCTTGAAATGTGTTTTATAATGTACGCCAACATCTGCAAATATTTAACAATGATTTAATTTTTTTAACATATTTCAACATTTAAAATAAACAGATATGCTTGTGCTTATAATTTACATCTTATATTGTCATTGTGGTAGAGTGGTACAAACTTAGCATATAATCATACCTTTGCAAAGGTGAGTTAGTTTCTCTATCTGAACATTGTAGCAGATACAAAGATGAATTTTCCTCCTCTGGCATGCTGAGGTGAGGGCAGATATCTGTCTACCAAGAGTTTCCTGAAAAGTTTAAATGATAGTTTCTAAATGTTTGTCAATCAGATATGCTAGAACTAAGCTTGTGTGTTTGATTTAACACATGTTCATCTTTTGATGCTGTGGGATACATTTTTAATAAACTCTTTCAGACCGTTAAATGCAAGGCTTTAGTATTGAAGCATCACTTACAAACAAGTTCAACTCATCAATGACGTCTTGTATTCACCGAGGAAGGATTTATTATTCATTACATATGACAAACTTCTCCATCTTTGTATAAAAAAAAAAAATATCCCTGTTTCCCCTCAAAGCACTTCTTTGCTGAGCTGCAACAGTAACCCGAAGGGAATTTCTCTCCAAAAATACCCATCTGACTCAGTCTGCTAAAGCCTCATATATTAACTTCGGTTGAATAGATTTTGTCTCATCGTCTACATTGAAACGCGTTCAGGAAGGAATCTCTTCACAGCCAGTATAAGAAGAGGGGCCGATTACAAATGAATACTGTTGCAGATGGCTCTTTCAATTTACATGTGAGCCTATGAATTAAGACACACTTTAAAAACCGACCCAGTCCTGAAACTAACTCCTGTGAAAATGCGAAATGTTACTTTGTTACCACTGTGTAGTGCTAATGTTTCACAGCAGTCTGCTCTCACTTCTCTCTAACGTCACAGGGTTCTTCAGGGGATTCCCATCTCCTCTGTACTTCTATACTGAGCGTAATGAGGAAATGAAAGCCTGAATTTCCTGAAAGTTGTAGATTTCCTTTTATTTTGTGTTCCTCTTGTATGGGATTTTTCCCATACAAGAGGGGAAAAGATGTCACTTCCTAATTCTGTGATGCTCATTGTATCTAGTATTAAGAGTATCAGTCTTTAAAGGCCATAGAGTATTCATGGAAATAAGACTGTTATGAAAGGTTGTTATACAAAAGGATCATTTTGATGAAGTAGAACATAATTATTCCCTGCTGAGGATTTTTAATCAGCAGCTTTGAAGTCTAGCAAAGTCAATACTTCATGCTTTAGTCCTTCATCTCATGTCCTGCAATACATGGTCTCACCACTGTGTGGTGAGTGCAGGCCAGTGCTTTTGGTGTGAGATGTTTAGAGGCTGCATGTTATTATTATGTAGGTGTCAGCAGTCCGGACCCAGGGAACAGGAAAACACAATGCAAGCACCTTTTCTTTTTTTTTAAATAAGAAATCTTTCACTTTATATTTTAATATTTCCCATAATTTAATATTAGATTTGGTTAGAACTTTTAATTGTGTTATTTTTTGTATTTCCTGTTTTAGCTCCTTTAATAAATCTGTATTTTTTTAGGCATTGAGTATTTAGTTTCCAGAAGCCTCTACTAGCTGAGGTCCCAGAAGACACCGAGAAGTCATTTAATAAGGTTCTATAGTTTATTGCTTTGAAGTGTGATGATACATAAATTCTGTCTAAACGGGTTTTGGTTTTTGAGTCAAATCTAGTGAATTCATGCCCTGAAGGGTTTACAAATCTACATGCATCTATTAATTTAGTTTCTTCACATACTTGTTTTAAAAATTTGCCCTCTGGACTCAGTTGGAAGGGCTTTGTACTACATCTGTCTTTGGCTTCAGTAACTGTGTTAAAATCACCACATAATATAATTTTATAACCTACTGACAATAATTCTCTAAGTTTTTTAAAAAGACCAATTTTTTGGGATTTGTCTGGAGAAGTATAGAGATTTATTATTCTGTGTTTTTCTCCTCTAAAAAGGCAATCTATCATTAAAAGCCTGCCTGGAATAATGTCCCTTCTTCTAATAACAACAACATCATGAGTCTTAAAGAAAATACCGACACCATCAGCCTTGCTCTCACCTATAGATATTACACATTTACCCTTAGGCCACATGGCGCAGACATTATCAACGTCGTTATTTGTGTTCAGTCTGAGTTCCTGAGTACATAGAATATCAAAGTCAGTGTCCAATAAATACTCAATTTTTTGTTGATGATAAACACTCGATTGAACACCACGAACGTTCCAGGTGGCGATTTTAAGAAGGCTCATGATGGAGTGAAGGAGACCAGTTAGCAAGCACCTTTTCAACATCCTCCCCTGTAAAACAAAACTGTGGGTTTAACTTAACAAAGGTGGCTTACCACTGACAGGGGGAGTCATGAGAAGGACATAATACTCATCACAATAGAGGTGCACCAACTGGCAAACGAATAAACTGTCAGAATCAGGACAACATTATCAAAAAAGTTAGTTTTTTCCTCCAGCAACAACTACTATTCTTCATCATCGTATGTTGGTGGAACATTTTACTCACAATGTTTTGAGGTGGAAAAAACATCCAAATGTCAGACTGATGTGAGATTTATACGAGAAATCACAACTTTCAAAGTGATGCATCTTTTGAGAGATAAAAATGTTTGCTGGCTATATTTGTACATTCTTCATCCAACACAACTCTCTGGAGCGTGAGTGTGAGTGTGAGTGCAGAGGCCAATACATATAGCCACTCTGGCCCATTGACAAGGGAGCTCACAGATTCAACAGTGATGGCAAGACAAACAGATCATAGAAACCAGCAGAAACTGTTACTGCCAGCGTTTTGTCTCTATGCATGAAAGGAGTAAAGCAGTGAGCTCAGCATAATCCTTTCAGAGGGCTGCGGTCGGCCCTCTGACTGCCCTGGTCAGCATGATGCTCCAGTGCAGAAGCTCAATGCCAGGCCTGCTCTCCCCTCTTCCTCTCCAACTGTGGATTTTCGACCGCTTTATCCGACCTGAGCCTCCAAACCCGCCCGTCACACACACACAAAGTAAAACGGTGCCTAATCACTTCTGATGCCACAAACCGAATTTGTACCAATCCAGAGCACAAGTGGAGACATTGCTCGTGCTTTGGTGATCCCAGCTTTGATTAGAGTGAATGTTAATGGTACAATATAGAGGAGACAATGAAAAGAAAATCATGGAAAAATGGTGAAAGGTGAACACTGTAATGACATTATTCTGTGCTTGTAAGATTTCAAACGTAATGGAAATCAAGCAAAACTCCCACTGCTTCCTGCCACATCTCCACTGCCTCTCTATTTTCAGGTCAGGTAGCTCATCATGGTGTTATGAATGATGAATCTGTTTGTATTAGTGCTTCAACCACACTGTTGGTGGTACAAGATCTCCACCTCCTCCAGTAAGACAAAACGTTAAAGCCCCAAGCAGAAATAAAAGATGCTCCAAAGTATTATACATTTAGTTTACTTCTCTCCTTGTCCTTCCCACATAGTGTACGTTCAACCTCAAGTCAGGATTTCGAAAGTAACCCTTAAATTGCGGTATATGGGGAGCTTTCCTACGTGAACAAGTTCAAGCTATTATCAATGACCAGTTTGATTATTTCTGGGCCTTTTAAACTTGCATTAGTCCAGATTCAGAGTAATTTCCACAATGAGCAGACAGAGGCAGGTCATGGCAGGAAAAGGGTTAAATGATTTTGTTTTGATTTGTACTATTGTTTGCTGGCCCCTCCCCTGGGCCCAGCGGGGCTGCTGTGGCCCCTAGGGTGTTATAAAAAGGCCTCTGAGCTCCCACTGCTCTGGTAAAGAGGCTGAATGTCTGCAGGACATGCTTAACGTTTGTCTATCTATGTTCTTCTACTAACAACCAGCGGGGTTGGCACATAGATGCACAGAGACTGGCCTATTGCTCCACTAAGGAGCTCTCTATGACAGAAATCCGAATTCAGAGCAGCAGATTGTTCGCAGTTGCATGAGAGTTACATGTTGAGCAGTTGTTGTTGCATTTAGCTTTAGAGAGGCTTTTTCTGTTTGAGGGCAATTTTTTGGTTTTAAACAGTAATTTACTGTGGAGAAACAGCATCTCATTTTAGTTGCTTAGTTAGTTTTTTTATTGACTTTTTATCCCTCCATTGTTTAGAAGTTGCTTTTTGACCTTTTGCCACCATGTGGGAGTTCAGGTCCATGTCCTTCTGGAGGGCTGTGTTTGCCGAGTTCTATGGTACCATGTTCTTTGTATTCTTTGGGCTGGGGGCAGCCCTCCGCTGGACCACTGGGCCCCACAATGTTCTCCATGTTGCCTTTTGCTTTGGGCTGGCGGCTGCCACCCTCATCCAGTCCATCGGCCACATCAGTGGAGGACACATCAACCCGGCTGTTACCTTTGCTTACCTGATTGGCTCCCAGATGTCTCTGTTCCGTGCTTTCTTCTACATCGTGGCCCAGTGTCTTGGAGCACTGGCTGGTGCTGCCGTGCTGTACGGGGTCACGCCCACCAACATGAGAGGAAACCTAGCTCTCAACACGGTAAGATTACCTGCCAGTCACTGTAATGATAGGTACATTATTAGAAGTAAGCTTACTGGCTCTGACTCACTCCTGTATTCTAAATACACTGACTGTTGAATATTTAGATAATCAACTATAAATTACACAATATACGGATTACGCATTGCATGTACACAGAACATAGTTACCAATTCTGGTTTGAAAAGCAATGTAGATATTAAACCTAACAAGTTTTACATTCAGGAAGGTCATTCACTACAAAAATCACAATATGTAAGAAAAACTCACAATTGAACAATTTAATTTTGTCTGACAAAACTTAAAACCATGCTGATGTGATTTTAATTAATGCGCTCACATCATGAATTTCCTCTGTCTTCCATCTTTCAGCTGCAGCCAGGCATCAGCCTTGGCATGGCCACCACCATGGAGGTCTTCCTCACCCTGCAGCTTGTCGTCTGCATCTTTGCTGTGACTGATGAGAGGCGCAACGGACGCCTGGGCTCTGCTGCCCTAGCCATCGGTTTCTCTGTGCTCATGGGGCATCTTCTCGGGGTAAAAACTAACTGGGGGAATTCTGACACAGCTCACTGGGTTCATTCAAAAATCTAACGATAGTATCATGTCACATGTACACATTTACTGTCTTAACCCTGAACTACCCTCTGCCTTTCACACAGATGTACTACACTGGAGCAGGAATGAACCCAGCAAGGTCCTTCGCCCCTGCTGTCCTGGTCAGGAATTTTGTCAACCACTGGGTAAGATGATCAGATCCGTGAATCGTGATACACTTCAAAGTCTTGCAAACTGTAGTAATGTGACATCTTCAAACTCTAACGCATTCTGCCCTTTGTCTTTCTGTTTCTGGCAGGTGTACTGGGTGGGACCCATGATTGGTGGTGCGTTGGGTGCTCTGCTGTATGACTTCATGCTGTTCCCCCGTGTCCGCGGCCTCTCTGAGAGGCTCGCCACACTGAAGGGCATTCGACCCTCAGAGGCTGAGGGCCAGCAGGAGACCAGGGGAGAGCCGATCGAGCTCAAGACACAGGCCCTATAAGCCTGGAGACGAAGATTGGCTTTCTGACGCCCCCATCTCCATCCCCCACCCCTCAATCTGCACCCTCAGTTCCCGGTCCATCATCAACCGACCCAGCATTTCTGTGCACATACCTCCTCCCCGCATCCACACATGCTAACACAGATCCCAAACACCTTTGCTATCCTTGTTCTGCATCCAGAACTGGACCTACCGAATTACAGAGTAGCGGAAACCAGAGTCCCGACCATCTCGCCTGATTTCACCTCTACCCAACCTTCCTCCTCCACCTCCTCCTTCTCCTCCCCCTTGGACTGCAGGACAAAGATGGAGGGTTAGAAGAAGACTTGCCACTGAAGGAAGCACCCTGTGCCCTGCAGTGTGGGGAGTCAGTCACTCCTGGCTGACCAGGTGGCTATAACTGCTCAGGACAGGGGCCTCTCTCGCTATCTTTTTTTCACTTTCTCTCTCTTTCTGTTTTTCTCCCTAATTTGTCCGCTAGGAGTGAAACTACAGTAGAGCAGTGGACTTCTGCATGCTTTTCCGTTTTGATTCGGTGTGATCTTGCCCTTTGTTTTGTGTTGTTTAATGAACTTTGGGTAAATTACATGTCCGTATTGTATTTTACCAGTATTTATTTGGCTCACATTCATTTTTTTTAGTTGAATGTGTGTGTTTGTGTGAGACTGAGAGTGGGTGTGCATGCATGTCTCTGTGCATGTGTATGCGTGTGTGCTTGTTTTAATTGATTATTTTTATTTTTCTCTTTTCATTGCCACAATGTATAAGGATTTTTTTTTTTAATCATACAAGCATATTTTCGGGAAAGATGTGGCCTTTTCCACGCCCTTACTGATACTGCAAAAGTTCAACAGACTCTATGTTTAGAGTGATCCCTCTTTTATATCAGATGAAAATAATTTATGCCTGCGAGTCAAGTCTTAAAGCCAAATTCATTCAGTGTAGAGATGGTGTCTCATATAGTGAAGCACACACACATTCATATTTATATCAAAATAAACACAAAACACAAAACTATCTGGTCTTTTCTGAGCTCAGTCTTCATTGACATGACAAACACTTGAATTGGTATATTTGCCATTGCTTTACAAGTGGGGAATCTGCAGGTTTGTATCACATTTAGACAACTTATACAGTATTTGTGTTGGGTTACATTTTAAATGACTTTTCTGACATGAGCTTTGCTTTTAGAGCAGCGCTTATCACAGATTTATGTACAGGTGTGTGATAGTTGGTTTGCTTTCAGATTTGCGTGTCTGCCATGGAAAAACAAAGCAAACCTGACAAGCTGTCATGAGGAACAAGCGTTTTCTAGTTGAATTGTGTTGTTTGACACGACTGAAGGGTCTTTGTAACATCAACGCGAGGTTAGAAATGAAAGTGCATGAGGTGTGGTGGCTTGTTGCTGGTGTTGGCAAACACCTGGTGCCTTCTCTTCTCTGCGCTGAGCAAGCCCCTGTCTGATATTTGGGAGAAGAGAGAAGGTCACCGTGAGGTTTAGTGTGTTTGTACAGGGTGATAAATGTACACCTTTATTTTTCATACAATCTACACAAGAGAGAATGAACTTTGAAGTTCTACATTAGCCTGGCGTCCCCTCTCTCTTCCATCCCTCCTTCATCCACCCTACCTCCTCCCTTTGTTTACGAGGCAGCCATTGTGTTCTGCTCTAAAGAGGGGACATCTAAAGCTGCTGGGATGGAGGGAAGGGGACGGGGCACTGAGATAAGTTAGCATTTCGACAAATTTTACTAGAGCAGTTATTGAACCAGACATGTAAGCTGATTCTCTTCCTGCTTCCTCTACATAACCTTTTTTTCAGTGTGATTTCCCTGGCAGTGGTTGAGTAGAATTTACATTTTAGTGACATGTTGAAATTAGAGTTTGTGTTCTAATGGAAAAGCTTTGTGATGTACAGTGTAAAGTTTTCTTTTTTTTTTTTAAATCATTTTATGATTGTTGAAACTGGATGGATAGGAAATATAATATGCTAGTTATGCAATGTCTCCTCTTTGGCTGATGGATTATGGAAGTGATGCCAATTATGCTATACACCAATATGCTTTCATTCAATGAACAGCCTTTATGGTACAAGACATACCTTCCCGATCACAATGCCATTGATTTATTATTTTTATATGTCAAAAAAATCAGAAAATTCTTATGTTTCCAATCATTTCTTTGTCTCTTTTCTTTAAGACTGACTGTAGAAAAACATGTGATTTAAATAGATGGTGTTAAACAGGATAGGTACATTTGCATCCATCAAAAAACCACGACACCTCAGAGAACTAAACCCAGTAACCATTGACATAAACATTTGCGAATCAGATGGTGTTATTTCTGTGAAAGCACAGGGGCAGTGAAAGTTGCAATCCAATCTAGAGCCGCTTGTAGGACATATTCCTCTATCTGCAGTGTTTAAAATATTGCCACAAACAGTTGTGATATCAGTCAAGGTCGGCTTAAGGAAGATAACTCACTTCTTGTAAATACATTCACAAAATTATTTTTGATATTTTGAAAAAGAAAAGATTTTATTTGTCACCACAGTTTAAAGATATATGATTGTATTATAGCCTCACGGTGATTCATTCAAAAGAGAATCCACAAGATATAAAAGGTTATAAACATACATGCAACATAGTACGTAACCCACCAATATGTACAACACTGACAGTGATGGTAGGTAGTGCAAAGCTTCTCATGAAACCAAAAGTTTAATTAGGAAGATTCATTTTGATATACATGCAGCTGTGGACGCAAGCTGCCACAAAGCAAAGATTCTGCATCTCCTGCGAGGATGATATTGTTCTTGACCCTGTAATGTTTCCTATTGACTGCCACGCTAATTACTCTACTCTACATCCCTTCTATGTTTTTATCTCAAACACCAAAAAAAATGTTCAAATTGCACATTAGCACGTTATGTGAGACTCCGTACATAAATAAAATAACGTACAATTTGAGAATTTACATAGGAATAAAGGTATGGAAATATACCGTTGATCATTTAGGCTACTTCCTCTATATTTATGAGTTGTATCACTGGAGGCAGATACCGATCATTTTTTTTGCATTGGGGCAATTAGTTGGACTTGATGGATGCTTAAGAGAAAAGAGCAACAAGCGAATGAAAGCTTTAAACATTTAAACATAGAACAGAAAATACACATAACTGAGTCTTTAAAGTAGCCTAATAATCTTGAAGATTTTCATTCAAATGAAAGTCACAATATATCGCCGAATGAGGTAACACAATAGTGATTGAGCCTATGGCCCACTGATGAAAGTATTGCAACATTCATGTATTTGCAGTATTAGGAACTGGGTGTCTGTGGCAACATTTCTCGAAAACGTGCTGTATTAAGTTACTGCTATTGCAAACCGAACATTTCTACTGCTGTGGCTTCACATTAAAAGCATTTAACTCGCGAAAAACAAGTTGACTTTTATTATGAAGCAGTTATAGGAAATAAAATGTGTGTTGTCAGTGAGCTTGACACTGACCGCTATCATTCATCTGCAAAACAAGACAATGGTCATTTTGGGGATTTTTTGACAGCATATCAGTTTTAAATAATGCAGTAATCGAATAAGAAGGAGCAGCCACAATAAGTTGTTAGATGAAGGGCTGAAGCCCAAAGTATTCTGGCACCTGTAGTATTAAACCGCATTTGCTGTTACCACCAGTTGGGTGTCGCCAAATCAACCTGAAATTTCATTTCTCACCACCATCATCATCACCAGTTCATCTGCTATATCATAAGTGTCGATCAATATGGTATACTTTCACAGTCAATAGTGATGAAAAAGCTTATTGTTCATTTCATATTCCTAATCTCCACTATGTACAAAAGGCTCATGAACATTGACTGAGTTATGAAGTCTTTACCATGCATACTGTGAGTTACTGTGAGATTGAGTGTATAATATACTATAGCTGAGGCTTAGCATCATAAGGAAGGGTTATATACAATAGGGAAAAACTACTCAGATATGCTTTCCTCTTCATGAAAACATGCAACAAGCACAGAGGACAACATAACCTCAAAAGTAATCTCCGGTGGCTGACTGTCCACTGAGTGGAGAACAACATCAACAAACCTACCACCCGGTGAGACAGGGTTTCTTTTTAAAGAGGTGCACAACAAGGATGACAGCACTTTTCGTTCTTTCCGTTTGTTCTCAGTTTGACTTTGTCCTTAAAATGATTTCCTATTTGACATAGCACCAGGTCAACCAGAATAATCACATTTCGTTTTACTCAAAAGTAGACGAATCTGTAGATGGATGATGAAAGTGGAGGAAGAAAGTCTGTGCAAGCAATGGTGCTCCTTTCATATGAAGGTAAGAGAGACGATTTGGGCTCTGGTCTCTATCAGATGTCTGCTTTGCACTCCGAAACCAACTTTGGTGGGAAATCTTCCTACTGATGCAGACTCTCGAGGAGTTTGTCAATATCTAGATCCATATCCTCTGAAACACTAGAAGACAGACACATACACATAATGACCTCTGTGTAAAAACAACATTTACTTTTAATACAATTTAAACAATTGTACAATTTTATACAATTGGTATACTTTCACAGGTGGTACATTTCTTTTCAAATTTGAGTTCATCTTACATTTTGGGCCTCATTTCTGTCTAAAAAATGGTCTAAAAAGTGACAATCAAATATAAATGTGCAGACATAAACACAGTGTAAATGTTGCCAGTGGTAGAGAATTGGTTGCTAGCTGGTAAGGGAATATGAATGACAGTGAGTTGGTGGTATGAGAGAAAGTGAAAGAGAGAATTATGTAGACGTAACACTTACGAAGGGAAGCCAACAGCACTGTGAGGGCTTTCTGGGAGGGGTGTCAGAGGTGGGGGTGTGTCTGAGCTAGCTTCCCTGCAGACACACACAAACAAACACACTCAAACATGACATGTTCCTTTAAAATGCTTGTACTTTAAGTGCATCAAAAGACATTGTTTATTTGTAAAATAGTCCCTTACGTGCCGACTTTGGTTTGGAGAGACACAGGGATGTAGCCCCCGACGGGTGACGCTTGAGGCTCTGTATCAAACAACAGCAGTGTTTAGTTGTCCATTTTCACTTGAGCTTCAGACTATAAATCTGACATGAAGACAATTACCTGTGTAGAATTTTTTGAAAACTTCATGTTTTGGAAATTCAGGATACAGGTATGTTATGTGGTCTATGTCCCGGATGCGGTCTCCAAGGCTACGGATCTCAAGATCTCTCTTGGTGAAGGGCTGGATGTTCTGGATTTTCTGTCCTCCATCTAGTAGGGAAAAAAAGGTTTGATGTGTCAGTGCATATGTGTGTGTGTGTGTGTGTGTGAGTGTGTTTGTGTGAGCGAGAGAGAGAGAGAGATAAGTGAGAGAGTGTCAGTGGCATAATGTGACTCTCCTAATCGTTGAAATTATTACTTTAGTAGCTTCAATAAAACACTCAGCCAGCACAACCATGTCAGTTCACTGCATATACACAAACATGCATGGAGGTTGTGCAACGTGCAGGCATGGCTTCAGTTATAATCCCAGCTACAGCTGTGTCAATATGCCTTGGCAGCAGTTGGAGAGAGATCTTGTTTAACTTGCTCTGTAAATTGTCTATCTTGCTGCAATGGGATGACAGCTAATTCCAGCTAAGCAGTCACAGCTGAGGGTGCGCCCACTTGCGCTGTGGTCACAACCAGCCGCGGTCAACTTCATTAAACTATATCTTAATACAGCTCAGCCTCTCTCTGTGGATCAGAGGGAATTCAAAACGTATTGCAAAGGAGCGCAAAAATATTTCAGGAAACAAATCCCATTGTGACCTTTTAGAGGGTAAATAGACATCCATATACAGTATATTACAAGCAGTCAACCTACCAACCACCCTACCCCACAAAATGGGGTATCAAGTCAAGTCCTGAAATTCCTTCACATAAAAATAACAAACGTAAAAGATAGATGCACGATTGCCCTGGTCACCATATCGACACTGACTTTACTGTGTGCACCTTAGCTTCATCACAGTTAAAACCACACCAACACTTACTCTCAGTAGCGGACACATATGCAATTGTGATGCCTCCGATCTCAGAGTCACTAAAGCGAAGCAAGAACGTCCCGTTGGGCCTGTCTTTGAGAATCAGGTGTAGATGCTGCTTCCCAATGAAACCAAATATCAGCCTAGTGGAACAAAACTTGTCATTATTAACAGACTGTAGCAGGTTGCTAACATTTAATATTAAAATAGCATAGGGAGTCCCCTCACCCTTCGCTCCAGTACTCCCTCAGGTGCTTCTTGGTCAGCTCCATCACTCCCTCAAACCACTGCCAGAAAGTGAAGGGTCGACCCGGGAGCACCTCCTGTAAGATTGAAACGGCACTTTGAGACTTGGCTGAATGATCGCCTGTGTGTGTCTGCCAGAGGACATACACCTGTGTGTACCTTATTAAACTGGGCCCAGGTAACCAAAATGTTGCTGAAATCGTCGGCAAAGTCAGGCTTATCGAATATCTTCTGGGCCAAGAAGTGCTGGTTGTATTGGTCCAGATTGTGGTGTGTCGAGACCTCGGAGGTGAATTTACTGTTGAGAGTGCTGTACATCATCCTCCATGGCACGCGCTCCGACACCATGAATGGCACTCTGTCCTGATGACAACCACAAAGAGGCTGACGTGATGAGAGCACTGATATGCATTTACAATGATGTCAGAGCCAGAGTGAAAGAAACAAAGAAAGGCATTTCAAAAAATCAATGTATTTGTCATAGATCACATCAAACTATTTGCAGTCAACATTAAGATTGACAAAGCAAAGAGAGCAACAAACAGTTAGCCCTTCAAGACCCAAAGAGCTTGAGTGCCCATTAACATAAGTCTGTGGCTCACTTCCAGCTCAACGTCGTAAACTGATAAAGCTACATACAATATTCTGTCTGATGAATGAACCAGAAGATATTTGTTAGTACTGATGGAGTGTCATAAATGCGGAATAGGTTTTGTGCAAACTTAAATCACCAGTAGAGGATGATATTTTATATTGGTGTTATGGACGTTGTCATGGTCTTGGGTTTTGTTTTGTTTATTTCCTGTTTTATTTTGAAGTTCCCTGCCTCTAGTGTCCAGTGTTTGGTTTTACTTCCTTTCTTTGTCTTTTTTCTGCCTATTTTACACCAAACCTGTGTGTCACACTGTGTTGATTGTTTAATGTTATGCACTATCCGCCATGTCAAATTCCTTGTATGTGCAAATAAACGGTTCAGATTCTGATTCAGATTCATTCGTTGATTATTTACACGTCTATTTAGTCTGTGATTCCTTGTGTCCTTGTCAGGTCATCTGCCTTTGTTTACTGAAGCGCTACATTTCTGAGGGTGTTACTAATATCCCTTGTTGGATTTCCTGCCTTTCAGCCTTACAGGATTGTCTTCAGTTTGGTTCTTTTTCATTTGTGCTTATACTTTCCGCTCCCTGCTCACTCAGTTTTTGTCTATTCCTGTCTATTTGGTTTCAGCTTTGGTTATTAAAGCTTGCTTTCTGTCTTATTCCACCTGCATTCAACCACACTGCAATCTGCAGGACAGAGCCGAGGGATTCCGGTTGGACAAGAGGAGGTGGACTCTGTGTTTACATCATGGTGCTTGGTGCTCAAACATGGTCAAAGGTGATGATTGACAATGTTTTACAGATGTAAAATGTTTAATGTTAAGACGTCGGCCATATTAACTGCCCAGAGATTTTTTTACATTTCTTATGATGCAAATTCCAAAAATGCACTACAGGAATGTACAACTGTTTTTGATTTTCTTGTGTTCCAAATAGGCTACAACTGCGTTTGTTGTTTGTTGTTAGTTGGTTTATTGGACGTATTATTGAGATGTTATAGTTCACTGAATTCAAATTAATATCTAAACAATTGTAGAGAATCCCTCCAAAGATCAACTGACGACGTAAGAGCCTAGGCACCAAACATTAACGCTGTACGTAGACCACATTTACACAACAATCTATTCCTCATGAGTTCTCTGTGAAGTTGCAGTGTTCACAATAGCACAGACAGACAAACTGCATCGGTGATAGCAGAGACTTAAATGTGAAGGGACATGAAAGCAATAGCAGAGAAATTAATAATTTGACACTTACTGGTTCAGAAAAAGCACAGTCCCATATGATGGTGGCCAAAGCGTTGTGGTCCTGACTACCATGAACAATGACGACCACCGGCAGTGAGATCATCTATAGTAATGACATCATTTTTAAGTTGTATGACCACGTAGTTGTAAGCCCCAGTGCATCGCTGCTGTTGCCATTTAACAAAGCTTGTGTGCTGACGAATGGTATGTAAGAACATTGAATGCAACTGTGTTCAATGTGATAAAGGAGAAAAAAACATCATCATCAAGCCAAAATTAATACCTTTCCATTAGGCAACAGGATACAACAATCAGTTTAAGAACAGGCAGAACAATGAACAAGGCCAAACCTGTATCCTGTAGGGAGTGTCACAGCCTGTGATGTTGATCTCCGTCGAGAACAGGAGAGCAAATTTTTCTTCTGTCACAGACTCTGATCCCTTTCTGTCTGCTCTCTTGATCTTCTTGATGGACTGTTACACCAAAATACATTTAAATTAGTTAAGATTTAACATGAATCTAATCTCGGCTGAGAAATCGAGAGCGGTACATACCATATTCCTGAAGGTGGCACACGTGCTTTTGCTGGATGTGTTGTGTTCTAGGATGGCTGTATTGTTGATCAGTTCCCCGACATTATCACTGCAGGTTACAAAAGGTTTCAATATCAATTTTTCTCTTGTATAAGTATACAGTAAGAACCTTAATTGCTCCCATTCTGAAGAGTTATTTGACAATTTTGGCTTATCAGACACTAAACAACAACCAAGATAGTCATTCATGATGTACTGTATCACAAATTCACAAATAGATTTTTTAGGGAATCAATTTACGGAACGGAAACAAAAGCTCCTGATTCAAGAGCCAGTGTGTATGATTTTGGGGGCATCTAGCGGTGTGGTTACAGATTGCAACCAACTGAATACCCCGACGCTCACGTAAAAAATGCGAAAGCCTCTCTCTCACAGTCAGTGTTTGTTTGTACGTTCTGGGCTACTTTTGAAATATGGCGGTGCAAACGGCAAAAATGAAGGGTTCATTCTAAGATATTGAAAACACAATTATTGTTAGTTTCAGGTGATTATACACTTATGAAAACATAGTTTTATCATATTCCATTTCTGACAATAGATCCTCCACACTGCTACGCATATCTTTTTTTTTTAAAAAGCTACTCTAACACGTTACCTTTGTACAACTAAAACCATCCACGATTATTAAATAGGAAACATTAAAAAAAATACCACTGAATTAAATCATAGGATAAATTAGGAGGTAGAAATTTCCCATAGTCCTGGCTAATGGTGTAATTAACAATGACCAATCCACTAGGTGGCCCTGTGTCCTCTTTGTCTAACACAAACTGGTCGTCTTCAGCTTCACGATCCACACCTGGGCCGGTGTGGTTTAGGGTTTAAAAGCTCACAACTTTAACATGGAGCTCTCTCTTCCTTGGCTGACGTTGCTGCTTTTTGACCCATGCTTACATCACTGAATACTGACTTTCCACGTTTGCTCTGTTATCTTTGGTTAATTCTTGCTGTAGCCTTTGAGCCTGGAGAGATAAGAGACACTCCAGGTGGAAAAAGTACTGAATACCATGAAAACCAGTCAGCAATGTGCACTAATTGCTCTCCTCTTCCCTGACCGTGTGCAGTCCTCCATGTTGTGCTGTGTAGATGACTCACCCAGGTACACTGCTCAGGTTCCTGGCCTGAAGTTCATTAATGATTTGCGCCTTCAGCACCACAGGCTTCCCAGGAGCAACTTTTTCCCCCAGCAGATATCGCACTGTTGTGGAGAACTTTGACTGAGTCTTAATGACCTGAGGGGGCTGCCTGTCCACTACAAGAGAGCTGAAGGAAACATCAGTTACATGAGTGAGGAAAAAAATCTTCCAGCTTTAAAAGATGTATGACAGTAAGAAATAGAAATAAGAAGAATATAAATATATAAAAGAAAACAATGTGCTGTGCTACCTTTGAATCAGAACCTGCAGAAGTTTCCCCAGCCTTTCCTCGAGCTCTGGGATCGGTTCCCCTATCAGCATCAACTCCTGTCTCAGCTTCCCGTTTACACCAAGCAACTGCTCACACCTAACAGAGAAGATGTATAAAGATGGTGAGGGAGCAAGGAAGAAAGTGCAAAAGCCAGTACAATATGCCTCTGTAATAACGATCGTGTCATACATTATGATGTTTTTACCAAGGAATACAACTTAATTATTGTATCTACAATCAAACAAATACTTTTAGACTGGTTGTCGAATTCCTTCCTGCCTCATAGCCATGGACTCCCACAGAAAGCTGATGAACAGCAATACAATACAGATGCAGTCAATACAAAAGGTAATAAGTGGAGGGGTGTGCACCTCACCAGGTCTGTAGGGGGTTGAGGTTTTCGTCAAATGGCTGTCCGATGGTGGCCTTGTGCTGATCCCACCTCCACGCCTTCAGCCTGCTGATCAGTCGGGTCTGACATTGGTCCAAACAATCAACACACTCCTTCAGCAGCTGGAAACGCTTCTGCAACAACCAACAGCCAAACATGTTACACTGACACACACAGATGCATAGAAACATAGAAATACTACACACCTCCATATATTCCAAAGACCTCAGGATTTAAAAAACCTGAAGAGATTTCTTAATAATTATAGATACAGAAAAGCTGCACATTCTTATACTAGAGTGGTTGGAATCTACACGGAATCTACACGTTTACCATTTCCATTTGATTATTGACTGAAAATCTACAGTGTTTTGATAATGTGCAGCTTAATTTTTTCAGAAATCTTTGTAAAAAAAGAACTAATATCCCCCTATGGTCCCAGTAATGTTGGTAGACACAGCTGAAGCCTTTGCCAAGCTCACCGTGGCCATTGCTTTCACATTGTACTCCAGCTTCTGGATGTGATTCTGGAGTTTCTGAATTTCTGACTTTGTGTGATCAAGTCCGTTCTGTTGAATTGGCCCTGTTCAAACAATACATAACATCAAATGTTGAGTCCAAACGAACAGAAATGAACAAGCAGACAAACAAATTGTGAGTGACAACTTTTGAACGCCTGACAAGGAAAGAATAATTACTTTTTTTTTCTTGTTCTGACAAGACAGCATAACTAAAAGTGAATCATCCAGTTGACAGGATGGGTGTTATTTTATATTGGGGAACAATGAGGAAAGAAAATTAAAACTTCTTAAGAAATCAGATAAAACAAGTCAACACGTGAGCACGTCAGTCACACAGGCCAGGCCTGATAAGGCCAGGCAGAAAAGAACATTACATTGAAAATAAAGAAAGCTTGGCCATATACAGCTGATATGGATAATACTTTCACTGTAAATTGTGAAAGTATTTTTTTTTAATAGAAAGCCATTTTCTATTGCAACCAGTCGTACCAGTGGGTACGGAAAGTATTCAGACCCCTTTAAATTTTTTACTCTTTGTTTCATTGCAGCCATTTGCTAAAATCAAAAAAGTTCATTTTATTTCTCATTAATGTACACTCAGCACCCCATCTTGACAGAAAAAAACAGAAATGTAGAAATTTTTGCAAATTTATTAAAAAAGAAAAACTGAAATATCACATGGTCATAAGTATTCAGACCCTTTGCTGTGACACTCATATTTAACTCACATGCTGTCCATTTCTTCTGATCCTCCTTGAGATGGTTCTACTCCTTCATTGGAGTCCAGCTGTGTTTAATTAAACTGATTGGACTTGATTAGGAAAGGCACACACCTGTCTATATAAGACCTTACAGCTCACAGTGCATGTCAGAGCAAATGAGAATCATGAGGTCGAAGGAACTGCCCAAGGAGCTCAGAGACAGAATTGTGGCAAGGCACAGATCTGGCCAAGGTTACAAAAGAACTTCTGCAGCACTCAAGGTTCCTAAGAGCACAGTGGCCTCCATAATCCTTAAATGGAAGAAGTTTGGGACGACCAGAACTCTTCCTAGACCTGGCCGTCCAGCCAAACTGAGCAATCGTGGAAGAAGAGCCTTGGTGAGAGAGGTAAAGAAGAACCCAAAGATCACTGTGGCTGAGCTCCAGAGATGCAGTAGGGAGATGGGAGAAAGTTCCACAAAGTCAACTATCACTGCAGCCCTCCACCAGTCGGGGCTTTATGGCAGAGTGGCCCGACGGAAGCCTCTCCTCAGTGCAAGACATATGAAAGCCCGCATAGAGTTTGCCAAAAAACACATGAAGGACTCCCAGACTATGAGAAATAAGATTCTCTGGTCTGATGAGACCAAGATTGAACTTTTTGGCGTTAATTCTAAGCGGTATGTGTGGAGAAAACCAGGCACTGCTCATCACCTGCCCAATACAATCCCAACAGTGAAACATGGTGGTGGCTATCCCCCATCATGCTATGGGGGTGTTTTTCAGCTGCAGGGACAGGACGACTGGTTGCAATTGAAGGAAAGATGAATGCGGCCAAGTACAGAGATATCCTGGAAGAAAACCTCTTCCAGAGTGCTCTGGACCTCAGACTGGGCCGAAGGTTCACCTTCCAACAAGACAATGACCCTAAGCACACAGCTAAAATAACAAAGGAGTGGCTTCGGAACAACTCTGTGACCATTCTTGACTGGCCCAGCCAGAGCCCTGACCTAAACCCAATTGAGCATCTCTGGAGAGACCTGAAAATGGCTGTCCACCAACGTTCACCATCCAACCTGACGGAACTGGAGAGGATCTGCAAGGAAGAATGGCAGAGGATCCCCAAATCCAGGTGTGAAAAACTTGTTGCATCATTCCCAAGAAGACTCATGGCTGTACTAGCTCAAAAGGGTGCTTCTACTCAATACTGAGCAAAGGGTCTGGATACTTATGACCATGTGATATTTCAGTTTTTCTTTTTTAATAAATTTGCAAAAATTTCTGCATTTGTTTTTTTTTCTGTCAAGATGGGGTGCTGAGTGTACATTAATGAGAAATAAAATGAACTTTTTTGATTTTAGCAAATGGCTGCAATGAAACAGAGTGAAAAATTTAAAGGGGTCTGAATACTTTCTGTACCCACTGTATGTCTCAAGAACACAGACTGGAATGCAAAGACAGATGTTCTCTGTTGACCTTTTTTATACACATCTTTTTTTATCTTTGGATTTCACTGTCCATAAATAGCATGTGAGCAGGAGCAAGGGATTTCCAACTGAGCAGAATTACGCAAAAAGGCAATGAACTCACACGAAGGGTAGAAGAGTAGAGGAAAGAAAGAAGCACCAAAAAAGGCGGCGGTAGTAGTGGTAGCACTGGCAGCGGCATTTAAAAGTTAGTTGGAATCTCACATTAATGTGAATTTATGCAAACTTGAACAAACTATCTGCAAAACAGAAAATGAGCCTTAGGGCTCCTCCATTCTTGGCCCACCACTGTTTACATTATATTAACATGTTACCTTTCTGTCATGCCATTCAGAGGCGTAATGTCAGGTTTCATTCCTACACCAGTGACTCTCAGCTGTATCTGTTAATTCATGTCAACAACATTGTTCATCCTGAAACTTTACACAACTGACTTTCTGACATTTAAACCTGGATGTCACTGAATTTCCTGCATTCTAAATCAGAAGTCTAAAATCAGAAGTCAATATGAATAAGACTTATTAGGGCTGCACCTAACAATTATTTCCCCTATAGATTAATCTGCTGAATATTGTCTCGATTCATCAATAAATAAATACAAAATGTAAACTGCACTACAAAGTTTGCGAGAGAGCTCATAAAAGGAAACTAAATTAAACTGAAAACATATGAAACATTAAGTAATCTTGAAAAAGATAAACTAAAATAACCTATTTCTGCAATTTCAGTTACTATGGGTAATGTACTTGATTAAGCTCCAGCTGTGTCACTAGAGATTATTAGCGCCTGCTACAAAGTGGCTGTTCATAATATTTTAGATATGTGAATGCGAAGCAGGGCGTTACTGAAGAGAATATCTGTGTTCAGTCTACCTTGTGTTTGTGTTTGTTTGTGTCTCATACCTTGTAAACGCTCATAGTTCTGCCTCTCCCAGTTGAGCTCTTCTTGCAGCTGGTGCATCTTTTGTCGGATGTCCTGGACCTCTATCACCTTCAGGACCAGGTGGTCTACATCCTGCATGTTGGGGAACGAGGACTCTATATTCGGGTACTGTTGGAACTGTGGGGGGTTGGGCATCTGAGCGGGCTAAAAACATGGAACAGCACTTAATACACTTACAGTATTGCTGCTTCTTCTTCTTCTGATCTGAGCGGATCTCAGATCCTTGAACACATATGCCACAAAGGAGATATTTCAAACTGGTGTCTGTTAACACAGCATACTTTAAATAAATCGTCATAACTTTCTCAGGGCAAGTTTCAACTCCAATGAAATGTTTCCCTTAAAAATGTCTCCAAATCTGGAAGTATACCTTTTGAATTTAAAAACCACTGTTATAGCACTTTGTAAGACTATTGCCTGCTAAGTAGTATGCATGCATTTTCCCTGTTTGTCTATGTAATTATAATTACATCAACTTGTTTCTTTCTTCACCTATAATTAACACTCTGAGATCATGCCTAACTAGGTCATACAAAATGATAAGACAGCTTATTTGGGTAAGGGCAGGCAGTATTTGTTAAAAGACCTTACCGTGCCGAGCAGGACCCTCTCCTTTGTGAGGATCTCCCTGACCATCACAGTAAATTGTAGAGAATCTTGCTGAAACATAGTCTGTGAATCAAGAACATATCTTATCACATTTTTAAAACAGTTTATAATGTCACTGTGTAGCAACTAGTACGCAGTGTCTTTTTCCAGTTAATGACAATACATTTCTTCTGGCAACAAAAATATGTAAAGATTGCTATATTGGTTATTCTGGATTCTTTAGAGACATTCACTTCTTTCTTTGGTATCTTGTGATCAGTGGAATGTATGTAGGCTTTTATTTTTCATTTGGAAGCACTTGTACTTGTGGGCACCTCTCACTCTCTCTACAGCTCCACAGACACTTTACATTACCCATGAGCAACATGATGTTTTGTTGCATATGAAAACATCATCTTCCTGTCTTTGGTTTCAGAGGTTTCAATCATTCAACCTGCTGCAACCACTGGCAGCCACTTAGAAATACAATGGCTTGAAGTTACTGCATTTAACTGCATTTGAACTCAACTGCGAGCTGCAGGAAGAGCGACACTGGCTTATTGAAACCTGTCAGGGATCCAGGGTGGAACTTAAATCCTATTCTCGAACACATTTCCCCTACCATGTTCCTGCTGATCTGCATCAGCTTCATCCTGTCCACCACGTTGCCGTTCTGCTGAGCAATCGATTGCAGCATGCTGATTGTCTGGTCCAACAGAGCCCGAGCTTGGCTCTCCTGCTCCACATTTTCCAGCGCAAAGTCGTCCCTGTGAGCACACACACACACACACACACATACATACATACTTGCCCCTGCATATAAAGTATCTGCATGTAAACATACACACGCATTGATCCATACGCTGCATATATACAAGCACGTTGGTGTAACTGTTTGTGTGTACATGCATGTGTATGTTTATGTAAAATATATGTGTGCACATCTGTTTGTGTCGTACCATCTTTGTCTCTCAATCCACTCAGCTAAAAAGTGTCTGACTTCGATGGGGAAGGCGGATGGGGGATAGAGGTTGTTGATAGTGTCATCAGGCAGGCACTGTAACATCTGGGACATGCGTAACCACTGAGCCATGATCAGAGAAGCACTGCACAAGTAAAAGGAGTAAAAGAAGATTATGTCAGTTATGTCACTGGATTCTTAATTTACAGTTAAAACAAATCCACTCTTTTTGAGCAAACGCCACACTGGCAGTTAAGATTAAGGCAGGTGTTATTCTGTTCAATATGCATAAATGAGCTGATAATTCAAATTGTACCCAGTATTATAGACAAAGATTGAATTTCTACAGATAATATCAACAAGTTGTTCTTTTTCCAAAAGAAAGTCAGGAATGAAGAGGAATACGTTACTGATGGCTTGGTTTAAAAGCAGTTTAGTGTCTCTGAGATTACAGAGAGACTAAACTTCTTCTGTTGATAATAAATTAAATTCTGGACAACATATCGTCCAATACAACTTGAAAACAGAAAGCTAAGTTTACACTGGAGTCAGCCACGCTGAGAGGCTTCAACAGTAAACAAAGTACTACAAACAAAGTAAGATGAAAAATTGTAAACGCCTGGAGTGTAGACCTGTAACAGATATTTTATGCAGGCAAGACATATGCAGGACCACAACGCAACTGGTGAGCAAAACATTCTTGAGGAATATAAATTGCATCTAGTTATCCAGATGTGGCACTATGTCAAGGAAGAATGCCAGTCCCTGCTGCAGTAAGATGAGTTTCTAAAGGGACTCTGGTGCTGGAAACTCTACCGCTTCTATCCACAGCGACTGCATAAATAATCAAAACAATTCAAGTTAAGGATAAGGATAAGGATAAGGACGTTTATTGTCATCGTACGAATATACAACGAAATTGAGTTGGCGACTCATCAGTACAGCAGCAACAGTTAAAAAGTGTATAAAAACATTAAGACAAGACGATTTAAAAACAAGACATTAAATAAATATATACAAGATAAAACAAGATAAAGCACAGGCATCTGGCTTCAAAGTGAAAAATGTGCTTGGTTACAGTGTCGTGTTATTGACTATGATTGTTTCAGCACTGTCCGGTGTGAGCTGGGTGGGGTCGTGGGTGGCGGTGGGGGGGTGATGGAGGAAACTGCTCTTGCCACCCGCTAGAACAGTCTTCCTATTTGTTTAAGAGAGGTCACTAATAACCTACCTTGAAACATAAACTAAGAAATGGTTTACGGCAACCACACCTGCAATCATGAGTAAACATACTACCTTACCTCTGGCACTCTCGTTGTTTTTCATATCTGCTACTTTTGAAATTGATATTTGTATTTTGTTGTATTGCATCATTATTGTGTTTTATTCTGCTGCACAGTGTTGTACAGAGGTGCCTTGCTGTAGCATTGTATTGATATCAGGCCACATACTTGTAATAACCTGCCCAAGGACCACAGACGGTAAATTTGCTCTCTAGCTAACTCTGAAATGGTGATTCATGTGCAATATCCCTAAATAAATACAAAAGTAAGTAAAGAGCGCAACTTAAGCCTCTTTTTTTTAACAGCTGGAAGTAAATCACTTATGTGGGTTTCCATAACTGCTAAAGGATATAAGGCTGTATTTCAGGCCCACATACATCCTGCAACAATTGTTATTATGTAACCAAAACATGACAGCGACCCAGACTACCTCATATATTACACTCAACTCTCAACTGACAATGCCTCCTCCTCAGCTTTTAACAAAACCATATCTGTACAGTAAAAAAACAACACTTACCTTCAGTTAAATTTAGATTTCAACCATTGAATATGCTCTGGTGTCCTCTGTGTCACAAGTACTCCGCCAGTCCGAATAAACTACTGAGCATGTCCTGTCTCCATCCCTCACTTTAAATATAACGTTTGTCCCTTAAGAGCTGGGTCTTTACTGTCGTTTTAATGTTTTTACCGAGGAGAAATCAACTGAGAGCACCGACACCGAGCGGTTCAGCACGGACAACTTTTCAGCAGCGCAGAAAAAAGGTTTGGTTTACTTCCCTGTTATACACGATGTGCCAGTAGCGGAGGAGCGCGCTTTATTTCCTGCCTTCAAGTTCCCTCATGCCCAAGATATGCGGTCCAGTCGTAGGCTACAGGGCTGCCGTTTAGTAGGATTAATATGACAGAGACCGTGCACGGATGGGTGCTCGTGCGCAACAGCTACAGTATGTTTTGCCTCAAAAAGTCCGCGTTGTCTGGTTTAGCCTACTTTCGCCTTTGTTACAGCGCTTAAAGCATGCACTCTGCGGCTATCGTCTCAGGACTGTAGATAATAATAACAATAGACCGGCTAACGACAAACAGGGAAGCACATAGGCATTTAAGTGCCACCTTTAGTAACTACAACCGATTCCAGTGGGCCTGGTAAACTTCCTTCCACAGAACGAGACGTAGGCGGAGTAATGTTGAGTCATTTTACTACATGCTGTAACTTCCAGTAAGACTGTACTGAGACACATGATACCATATCTGCTAATGGCAGTGTCTTCAAGTCGGACATCATCCCAACGGCAACTATTGCCGGAAAATCACGAGGCCTATCCGCATTAATGGCACTCAGGACATTAGCGTTCTGTGACCTCATACTAATGTGTTATGTTAGTCTGTTGATGGAATGGGTCTATACGGAAATGTATGGGCATAGAAACATTCATGATCAAGTGTATTCCATTGCTTGAATTAAAATATATTTCAATTTGTGAGCTCACAGGAGCACGTGTCAGCATATGCAGGAATAACTAAAACTATTACAGATATATAACATATATGGGGACATATAAATTCAGCATGTTACTTCATATACATTTCAATATACATGTTTATTATATACTCCAGGCCCATACTGTATTAACACAAACTCAAATGTGAGTGTGGAGCTTGAGAAGAAGTAAGACATCCTCAAACCGTGCTACAATTACTCACTTCAAATTAAGCAAGCTGTTCAGAGACCAGTGAGCACCTGGAGGAGCTGTTTTTACTCTGCACGCTTTACTCAATCTGGAAATAGGGATTGAAATGAAAACGGAAACTGATGGAATATCTGCACAGTGTTGGATTAGGCTTTATAGAAATATAAATAACCGTTAAGAGGTTCGTGTATCAAACAGTAGAGGGCAGCAATGCACCAGTAAAGCGTCTAGTCTGCCGAAACCAGAGAAGAAGAACGACCTTCTGTGACGCACTTCCTAAAGTTCCGTGAGGTCGTTTATTGTTGTATATTTTTTCTCCTTCTGGTGTTCTGTGCTCCTCTTTCAATTCCTTACATATTTACTATGTTACTCTCCCTGTGTTCAGTTTAACGCTACAGTACTCTGGACTTATTCATCCTGTAACGTCTAGCATGTTGGTGTTAAATCCTCCCAAAAGGTTGTTTATAGTTCATAAGGCAATCCATCTGAACTTCAAATAAAAATAAATATTATCCCCAGATTTAATTACCACCAAAATCCATCTGTTTTCATTAAATTGAGGGTGGAACAAAATGAAACACCCCCATAGAAATTAGATTCCTGAGAAAAACGGAACTTTCCGTCCCCCCGTACGCTTGCCGCTTTCACTTAATGCTCGGATTCCATGGAACAGCGATATGTAATTAGGATGCAAAAAAAGGTTCAGTTACACAAAAAAAACAACGTAATCAGATGGATACATTTTACAAAAATGGGGATTACTAGCAGGATAAGAATTGTAAAATACATTTAAAAAAGGAACAATATATATAAATGTCGAACATTACTACACTTCTGGACGCAAGTCCCAGCAGATCAGCAAGGGTGGCAGGGGAACAACCCCACAGCACAGTGCAAGTCATCACAAAGCAAATGAATTGCGCACTTTCCAGTTAATCCAGATTTTTTTTCCCCGAGAAAAGATGGTTCAAAGGAAATTAGCAAACATGTCAAATTTCTGCTCCAGCAAACATAATACAATAACAGTTGGGAAGTTTACACGACACGCCGCTCAGTCCTCTCTGTAAGAGAAGAGTGTCAGACAAAGTGTATTGAAAAACAATAGATCCAAAAATGTATAACAAAATATTCAGCTTCAATCCATATTTTTTTGTCGTTTAGCCTTTAAAAAATAAAATTGTCACTGTGATCCAAAACACAAAAGCAGCAATCTAACAGTATACAAACATACATTTATATAACGACAATAACAATAAATCATTTCCCCCCCCCCCTTTTTCAAAGTGGTGACATCATAAAATATGACAACACACATTTGAAGCTTCATTCAAAAACCACAATAGAACTCCGACTTTGAGTGCTGCTCCGTTGTACATGTTCTAGTAGGAGGTCGAACATTTTCGAGTTCTGAGTTGTCTGCGATGCAGCAGATTCTAAGAGCGACTATGTTTTTGTGTTTGTTTGTTTGGCCTTCATCGAACAACTCGTCCTCCATAAGTCTTTATGAAGCACTTTCATAATGTAAAAGACTGCTACGTCGAGCCAGGTTTAAAAAGACCAGTTTCTTTCACTTCAACTGCTGTTTGAAAAGCAGTGTTCATCTTTGTTCTGTTTGGTGTTGAACCCAGCATACATGTTATATTTATATTTCTTGTTGTTCTCTTAATGTACAGGGAGTACAAGAACTAACTAAAAGAAAAGCGTTTTTGTTTTATATTTTGGAGCTATCAAAGTCAGGATGTTTATTTGTTTTAATACAAGAAACACATTCCTCCTCAAAAGATGAAGGTTCTAGTGTAATCAGTGTGGATGGGCAGGAGGCCAACAAATACTGACAACCCACTTCATTATCGCATTGCTGTGCCAGCTTTAATTACGCATATTGTAGATATTGTAGATATATGACTTTTTTGGACATACTATACTATGACTATTTCATGAATTTTTTAAAACCACTATATATTATGACTTTTTCACTACTTTTTTCAACATACTATGACATCTCTTTGACATATTATACTGAGACTTTTTATGACTTTTTTCAACATACCATACCACCACATTTTTTCCACATACTACTATAGCTTTTTCAGACTTTTTTTTGACATACTATGACTTTTTACGCCATACCATACTATGTCATGACGCTTTTTGACATACTATACTATGACTTTTATGACTTTTTCGATATAATATACTATGACTTTCTCAGGACATTTTTTATGGTTTTTTTGGTTAACTTTGTCCTTATCTGCTGCAAGGGTCCAAGCACGGAGGGTGTCTTATGCTGTAAAGATTGTAAGCCACCTGTGACAAATTTATGATTTGTTATATTTATTATATAGCCTTATCGCTTGGGGTCTAATATGAATGGATTCATGGCACAATCATGTAATACCTATGGTTTAATATTTTCTTGGACTGGCCACATGAGGGAGGTATAGACCTGCATTACATCTCATCTACAATGAGTTGAATAGTCTGTTTGGAATTAGGTGCCATCATGGCAAGATCACACAAGATCTTCTGCACACTACCCAACATGAAGGAAATTACCAAAACATGAAGAGTTTCATGTTAACTCCTTCATCTGATTCTATAAATATCAGATTATGCTGCCATTCTCACAGTGACCCTTCTGCTTTGCTTGTTGTCATATAGTATACCTATTTACTATTTATTTATCCAGTGATCACATTTTAGTCATGTGAGAGGGGGCAGGCCAAGATATTTTACCAGGACATTCCGTCTGTCAAACCCAATTTCCTCAGAGTTTTGATTGACCTGTCCAACACAGAAACAATGCAGCTGCAAAGATTTGACCGTTTCCTTTCAAACAACTTGAGCAGTTTCGATCCAGGTTTCAGATTAGTTTTTTCGTCTGTCTTGGAGCTGCAGACTTCATCTGATGGTTGTGATTCATTTTTTTCGTGTTCTCTCATTAGGTCTTGTGAGTCTGTACGAAACTGCCAAATGTTGCAGAGCTGATGGACTCGGTCTCAATTACCATGAAGATTAAACTCTTTAGTATTCAGGCCAATGTTTGTGATGAAACAGCCAATATCTCATGTTAAATGACATTGATCAGAGTCTCTAAAGGCAGTCTGCAGTGGTAGTGTTCCCTCTGAAACAATATGCAGCACCACCTCTGTCAAAGGCGAGAGTTCAACAATATTATTCAAAACCTTTCACTTAAAACTTTAAAGCTTTTTAGCTTTCTGCTGGTTGCAGGTTTGGTGTTCAAACAAATTCTTCAGATCATTTTTTTGTGTTACTATTGTTTGCTGCATTATCACTCACTGTGCAGGTCCGCCATCATCTTTTGGGGTCCTCTTAGGTAAAGGGCCCTTGTTGCAACTTTTCAACATCTGGAACCAATACAGCTGTGCGGGCTATCTGTGGGACCAGGGGGCTCGGAGGTTGTAGGCTGGGTTGGGAGGGGGGGGGCGAGGGGTTGGGCTAGTTGCTGCTATGGCCCTGGGGGTCCATGTGTCCCTAACTTCAAAATAGACTTGATTGCTAACAGCTGGCAGTCCTAACTCACCCTGTGTCAGAGCTCTCCTCTGATGTCAACCTTGTCAGTATCAAGACCCGGACAATGTAAGACCAGCAGCACGGCAAAGGTAGACAAGAGGACTGCCTGTGTGAAATGAGATTCAGAGAATGACCTTTTGTTATGAAGGTTGTTACCATAAATAACTTTATCACATGAACTCTGTAAGAAAACAAAAATGATGGAGAAATTTAAGTTGAATGCATGGGGGGAAATCTTTTTCAATCCCAATCAGCACAAAACAAATACATAAACACTAAACATACCAAATAGTCATAAATGCATCCATGAGTACAATGTAGTGACTAAAAGCTTTAGTTTCTATTACAATTACACCTTTGACATCATCAAGTTATTTAAAATGTGCTATGATGCAAATTATTCTTCTAATCTTGACCATCTAATAAACCCAACTATGTACAGCTAATTATTCTGATCAATATAATTTCTTTTAATTATTGTGAAATGTTCTAACACTATCAGTTTTTATTACAGCTGTATCGCAGTGAGGAAAGTGTGGCAGAGCTGTGTCTTGCTATTCACTGCCACAGTATGAGTAAATAGGACAGCAGCTCATTAGCATGTTATATTATCCAATTACAAACTCTGCTCGCCTAATTACCTCCAATCAGCAGGGAGAAGAACATGATTGACTTCCTGCAGGACAGAATTCACTCAGGACAAAAAGGACAAACTGGTGTTCAGTTGCTTACTGGATGGAAAGTGACTCACAGACTGTGGAAGTATATAGAAGGCAGGAGTTAGTGTGAGCAGTGTCTTTGTTCAACTATTACACATTTTCTTACAGCAATACCACCATGTGGAGGTAAAGCCTTTACAACGTTGTGACTGTTGCAAGTACAAAAACATGAAAAACTCCAGCCGGTGTATTCAATGCTTGATTGTCAAAACGTTTCCTGTAGTGTGAAGTTAGTATGGAAGATGTA